GGAGAAGGGCTATAAAGGAAGGTGGGCAGACAAGGAACCCTCTGACTCCTGGGGCATGAGTTACCAGGGAAGGTTCCAGTGTGTGCTCCTCCATGGTGATATGACCAGCTGTGCTGACTGGGAGCAGACCCCACCTGGATGTGTGCAGACCCCACAAGCCCCTTCACCCACCCCTGCCCAGCTTCGTATGTGTGATCTTTCTCTTTCTGAAGTCAGACATCACCAGACTTTAGACTCCACGATGGCAGAAATTCTGGCCAGTTTTTGTTTCCATTGTGTCCTCATCACTCAGCAGAACCTTGTATATAGTTGGCACTAGATACGTATTTGCTGAATGGATGGATGGTTGATTGATTTATCGATTCATTAAAAATGAGCAAATTCCTTCCTTCCTGTCTGGCTTCTGAAGACCAAGTCCCAGAACCAGAAACTGTCCGATGGGCATTGGAAGCCATAGTGCCTTCAGGAAGATGATTGTTCCTAACTCCCCTCATCCTCCCGTGTACCTTAGAGTCCTGAAACTCGGGAACAAGGACCCAAGAGATCACCACCCACCAAACGTCTTTCAACAAAAGGCTCTCTGCCCGGTTGTTTCCTTTCAGAGAAGAAGCCTCCGGGGGCTGATGAGGGAATGGTACCATGTGTGAAAACACAGGCCCCTAGTGACGGAGGGGCAGCAGAGCCTCCTCTAAAGGGGTCTGTTGGATTGCTGCCTTTGAACGAATCTGAATGTGTCTTTCGATAGCGCAAGCACCAGCCACCCCTGAGGACGTCTCTCCTTCATGGCGGCAGCAATGAAGCAGCCACATGGCTGTCGCAGATAAGGTGGCCCGAGTGCCATGTGCATGCAAAGTAGGCTTCACGGTAAACAGCACTGAGCAGATCTGCCCCCGGCCACGTTCCGGCTGCTCTGCATCAGGCCGCACTTCCTCTGTAACTGGCTCCCAGGTAAACGGGTGCGGGCTCCCACCACTTCTCATTTCTCATTTCCTACAAGACTGAAATTACACAGTCTTCCAATAGAACCACCACGATAGGGATGGATGTGAAGTTTCGGTGCCAATATAACATTCCTGATGGGAATTCTGACTGTGCACTGGTATCTTCAGAGACTAACAGAGGCTCACCTGTACCCACCTTGCTTTCCAAGGCACCGTGGAATTGGAGCGTTACGAGTTGTCTGTGGACAGAAATTTGTCCTCCAGGACCTTAACCACAGGAGCTGAGAGGCAAAGCCATTTACTTCTGTGCACTACAAGCCCTACGGTGCATGCTTTATATCACACCAGACAAAAACTGTAAGCCTCAAGCAAGCGCAACACAGAAAATTCAGAGGATCACCTACCGAGAGAGAGGGTGTTCAGCATCATCTTGACCTCCCCTTTCATTCACCAATTCATTCACTCAAAACTAAAGGGCCCTGATGGTTTGCAAATTGATATACTAAGTGCTGTGGGGATACAAAGATAAAACCCAAGCACTTCTCAAATAATAAAACGTATTCAGCAGATAACACCTCCTCACACTTATCTTGCAAAACCATGAGAAGTGGAAATTCAGTCCCTTTGAATTACTTGAATCTTTGACCTGACAAATAAACACACAGTCCCTGACACCCAGAGTGACAAAGAATTGGACATACATTTAAAAAAAACCCCAAAAACCAACAATTAACATCTTAATCACAGATCCTTGAAAACCTAACAACATTTCTAAAAGCCTGAAAAAAAATTATCTATATTTATACGTAAAAAGACTAGTAAATTAAATAGATAAATAATTTAACAGATAGAAAGGTAGGTAGACAGACAGACAGACAGACAGAGGGTGATGTAGAGGTGGTGTAGCACCAATGACTGAGCTCGAGTTCAGACTTGGAAGCCAGACGTCTTGAGTTTGGGATTCCAGATCTTCCACTCAGTGACTCACTACCTACACGACCTTGGACAAGTTACTTTGTGTCTTGCTTCCCTCAGCTATAAAATAATCATAACAATAACACCTCCCTTAGAGGACTGCTGCAAGAATTAAGTAAACAATTACGCTTAACGCCCTTAGAGCACCGGTTGGACACAGGAAACACAGGAAGTGTTAGCCCCTGTTGCTGTGGCTGGTGACGAGAAGGGGGTGATGGGTGCTGCTGCCGAGACAGCCTGTCCCTACTCTTGAGCTGGGTTAGGCCTTCAGGACCTTGCTAAGAAATAAGTCTAATCTCTTGGACAACTAAGTATCTTTTATACACTAGGATCCCATCTAGTAAGAACTAAATATCAGTGGGAATTCAGAGGCAGACAATTCGAAAGACCTTCAGGACCTTTTTCATTGGATGCTGATAAATGATTATGGGCTAAATACATAGAAAAAAAGAAAACAGAGGAAAGCAAGACTTTATGACATATTAAAATAAAATAGTAGCTCTACCCATTAAACGGATAGTGGAATAATGTATTAAAGTTAGAGCCATAAATAAAATTAAAGTTGTTTACAGACATAATCAGAAATAAGACATCGGTTCTGTCAATGTAATAGGGCATCTACAGGGCCTGGAAAAGTCCCTATGTCCAAAATGACTACAAGTTAAATTAAAGTAAAGCTGGCCTGTGGCATCCTAAAGAAACTGTCACGTGCAGAGCATTCCAAGATTCCAGAAGTGCACAGGCTTTACAAAGACACGTCCACACTGGCCTCTGTTTATTCGTGGAAACTCCTTGGTGTGCGCTGCTGAGCTGAGGACTGGGAGTAAGTAGAATGTCTTCTCCATTTTCTTTTCTGAAGATGCAGGATCTCCTGCTGCTTCAGATCTTGCTTTTATTTGTCAGTGGAAACACAAATTCCCTGCTGTCTTGCTGGCTTTCTCATTTGCAGCCAACATATGGGCTCATCAGCAGCAGCATCTCCCAAGGGCCGCCCTTCAAGTGCACAAAACAGGAGTCTTTTCTTGGAGAAGAACTGGAGAAGGACCCTTTGCCATATTTGGCTTTGAACTCAGACTTCAAAGTCTTAACCCTGATGGGCTTGCCCAGACCCAGACAGTGTTTGATGAATGAGTCCCTTTCTTTCTGGGTTTTCCCTTCTCCGGGGTGCCTCGGGGTTCTTTGTGACACATCCCCAGAACTGCTGAGTCTTAAAGTATAAGACTCAGGTTTCCTAAAGGACGCTTACAACTCTAGTAACCCTGCTGTATTCTTGGAGGCAGAAAAAACAATTCAGTAATTCCTCCCCAGAGCCAAAGTTCAAAGGCCAATGCCATGTCACCTGCCACAAGAAAACAGAAGTTTCTCTGTGAATCTGTCACCCAGATCTCTGATTCTGCCATGCTAACAGTCTCAGTGAGAGAGATAATCTTTCTTCCATTTCCACTGCCATCAAAGGTGGAGGACAGTTTGGACAAAGGAGAAGAAAGTCATGAGAGAGCTATGCATTGACTGGAAAGCACTGCCCAAGGGTACTGATCTGTAGGAACCAAAATGAACCCTGTGATGGAGCTGATGGTGTACTTGAGAGTGTTCCAACCACCTCATCATCTGACTGGAAGCCCTCCAATCTCCGTATGTGGTCCTAGAAGAAAAGGTGAGCAGAAGGTTAAACTATTTAACAAATGTTCATCAAGTATCCATAAGTCTCAGAGTATAAACTTGGCATGGTACTTTTTTTTATTCAACAATATATATTGAGTGTCTACTATATGCAAGACACCAACCCAAGAGCCAAGGATACCAAGGCAAATAATACAAGTCTCTTGCCCTTCTGGAGTTCACACTATAGTGGGTGTTCAGCCTAGTAGAGGAACCAGATCAGACACATGTGAAAGCAAGAGAAGTACTTGGTTAGTGAGGGAGGGGATAGCTCAGTGGAAGAGTGTGTGCTTTGCACACACACAAGGTCCTGGGTTCAACCCCCAGTACCTCTATTAAATAAATTAAAATAAATAAATAAACCAAATTACCTTCCCCTCCAAGAAAAATTCTTAAAAAATAAAAAGAGAAGTACTTGGTTGTAACAATTATGGGAGTGAGTGTTCCAGAAAGAAGGCACAGATTGGAATTAGGACCTTTCAATTTCAGGATGAGTTGGGTGATGGGTGCCAGGAAAACATCTTAAAAGAGCTGAGCTGAGACTAAATATGAAAAAGTTTATTTATTTACATCACAAGTTCCCAAGTCAGCAACAGAAGCAGAATTACAACTCTTAAAAGTCCCCGCTTGCCTCTATGCTGTCTTGCTTAGCAGCTGCCTCATTCGGCGCCACACAGCTGGGTAAATGAGTCGCAGATGGGATATTGGCAGCCAAAATCTTTCTCGAGACACATGACACTGTGATTTTCCTTGACATCCATTGAAATTCCTCACTAATTTCCAAAAATATCTTAGGTTTGCTTTAAAACAACCAGGGGGCCCAGACATTTCAGGAAAAACAAATCAGAGAAACAGAGTAGTCCCAGCCGTCCAAGCATTCCGAGCCCAAATCAGTCAGACCCAGAGGAGCCGTGTCCTTTCTGACGGCGGTCCTGGGACACCAGGCAGCTGACATCCTGGGAAATAGAAGCGCGAGTGCCTCTCTTTTCATTCACTTCCATTCCTGTCCTTCAGTTGCTTGTCCAACGAGCTGGTACCAGAGCCGAGAAACCAGGGAGCAAAGACAGCAGCTGGAAAGACGGCAGCGGCAGACAACGGCCAGACCCAAACAGAGGCAAATCACGGGCATCCATGAGCCCGATGTCACTGTTACTAACACTTCCTGCGAGAAGTTTGAGGCTAAGAGATCAAAAGGAAAGGGTTTTCCTTCACTGAATGTATCTCCTTTTTCATTCAAAGAATTCTAAGGGGCTGGGGTGAAAGTAGATGTGTTCTTAAATCACAGGGAAAGTAAGTTCTGAAACTTCCGATTAGAGAGAAAATCACACCCCTTTGCAATTGCTTTATTTCTGTCACCCCCAAAAGCTGAGTTGTTTGAAAGCAGAACTTTCCGTCTCTGTCAGAAATTCTCTTCCGTCTCCCAAATAGTGTCTGGCCTGCGATTGGTAGTTAGCCCATGTTTGTTGAATACACAGCCTTGCCTGTGACCTTGGTGGCCTGTCACATCTCTCTCTGAGGAAGTGACTAACACCCAACCACCCTTATAACGGACTGAAGTTCCCACGGGCAGACAGCAGCTGATCGGGGCAGGGGCAGCCAGGGGCCCCGGAGGACCAAAGACTCAGCTCCATGAAGCCATGCCGCGGACCTGTCCCCTCTTCCGCCTCACCATCTTCTGCACAGGTGAGGACAAGCCGCTGGGCCTCTTGCTCTTAGGGAGATGTGTGGCAGGAGCGGTTTTCTGGGGGGAGCAGGGGAGCATTGCTTGAGCGCGGCTCTGACACCCCCTCCCGCTGGGGCGGAGGGAGCTCACCGAGGCCTCTCTGACTCTGAGCGTTCCCTTTCAGGGGTCTCTTTGGGTATAATTTTGGAACCAGAGACCCAAACTCTGACTGCTCTCCTTGGAGGGCCTGCCACCTTCCGGTGCAACGTAAGTGGAGGGGACCTGGTAAGCTATCAGATGAGCTGGTATAAGAAGAATGAAGATCAGTCCCTGACTTTAGTATACAGACAAGGCAATCATGCTACTGAAGGGGCGAGGAGTAAGTTCAAAGGGAAAATTGATGCTTTAAAAAGTCAGTATATACTCGACATTCAAAACGCAACAGCGGAAGACGTTGGGACTTACTACTGTGGGTCGGACATCCACGGTGCTCCAGCTCTGCTTCTGGTCGCCTCAAAACCCCCGGCGGCCAACCCAAGCGGCACATCCAATGAGAGACCATCTCGGGCTACATTGACCACCAAACTGAGGTGAGATCACTCGATAAACTCGAAAATGACATCTGATAGGAGAGACAGGGGCGGAGTTGGGGCCTTATCTTTGTAGTTGGCTGAGAGAGGCTTTATCAGCCAAAGAGGGCAGAAAAGGCGGTTAGGTTTTGTGCAGGGAGACCAGGGGACCCTGCTCCTGTCTGTCACAGACTTCTGAGAAAAGACTGGGGGGTGGGGTGGGAAACAGTCTTCATTACTGAGAAGATTCTCTGGCTGTGAAGAGTCTGGGAAGAACAGAGTTTCTACTACCGGGAGTGCTGTAGCTCATTCCAGAGCCTGTCTGGGAGAGGATCCCCTTCCACGCTCGCTCACGTGGATGTGGGCAGACCTTGAGCCCTCACGGAGGCATCTCCAGAGGGTTCATCACAGCACAGCAGCTTACTTTTCTGCGGCAGGGACTCTGAGAGAGAAGGCACGGTCTTTTGGTAACCTCATCTGAGCAGTGACATCCCATCGCTTCTGCCATGTTCTCTTCAGTAGAAATGAGTCCATAAATGCAGCCCACACTCAAGGGGAGGAGATTACATGAGAGCATGATGACCAGGAGGTAGGGACCATTGGGGGTCATCTTAGAAGCTGCTGGCTACAGGGGGTTAATGCAGTGGAGCAGAGAGAGAGAGGGCTCAGAAACTCTGGTTGAGATCAGCTCGTTCAGAGACTCCTGACAACAAGGCTAAAGAGATTTGATTTTCTCTTACAAGCCAGTTTTTCCCAAACTTTATTGTGCAGGCAAAGCACCTGGAGAGATTGTTTCCAATCAGATTCTTGAGCCCAGCCTATAAAGAGTCTAATTCAGTCTACCTGGGGGCAGGCCCAAGAACATGTATTTTTAACAAGCACCCCAGGAGATTATGATACAAGTGGTCCAAGGACATGTTTGAGAAATTCTGCTATAAGCAGAAGAAGAACTGTTTGTTTTTTAGTACAAGGAAGATGTGTCCCAGTTCTCCTGCCCAACTACAGAGAAATGAACATTAGATGTGATCAAGGAACCTCTTGAATGATGGTTCTTAATTCCAACTGCATATTTGAATCACGTGGGGAAACTCTTTGACAATATTAGTGTCTGGAATATATCCCTAGAGATTTTGATTGAACTGGTGTGGCCGTAGAGCTCTAGCTTCTCAGATATTCAGCCTCCCTCCCCTGCACTCTCCTTTTCCCCTCTCAAGTCTAAGAACTTAGTGTTCTAAATGTCGTCTCTGGACCAACATCATAAGCATCACCTGGAAGTTTGTCAGAATGCAGAATCTCATGTACCAGCCTAGATCAACTGAGTCAGAATCTGCATTTTATTAAGATTCCCTAGGTGAGTTATATGCATATTAAAGTTTGAGAACCACTGGTCTAGGGAACCCATCGTTACTGAAAAATTTCATAGAGGGGGAGAAACATAAATCAGTTTTTCACAAATGTCACCCAAGAATCTATATTTGTAAAAAGCTCCTGAAGGGACTCTGATGTGCAGCCAGGTGTGAGACACACAATAAGCAATCAGTCATCCCCAAATCAGGTTACAGATTATTTGTGTTACTAACATATAATAAATATTCTCATTGAGGCGTTACTGTGTCCTTGCACGCTCTTTGGAAGGAGTCATGACATAAATTCTAGGTATGACCATTTCTCATTCATCCACAAGCAGATAAGGAAATGAATTAATATTTATTGAGTCAACGTGCTCTTTATCACACTTGTGTCCTTCCTGGATTATCCACTGCAACCCAGGACCTTGTGCTACACACCTTCATCCCAAGATCAAACCAGAAAAAAAGAACCTGAATCATTACTGTCTGATTAAGTCTGATCGAGAAGAAAAGGGACAGGAGATGAGAGCTTGTGTCTCCTGCATGATGGATGAGAGCATGAAGTTCTGGCCCATGTTGGGGGGAGGCAACTCAGAATCTGAGACAGGCATGGGGTAAGCATGAAAAACAGAGCCTGGGGCCAAAGAAGAGGGACATTTAGGGGGAAGGCAACCGAATGTCCAATAACTACCAAGTAACAATCTGAGAGAATCTGGGCACAAAACTATGGAAAAAGGAACTAGACAAGAATTAAAATTAAAGATTTGGAGAAATTCCCAGAGCTTACCAGGAGGTAGATGAGAAAGTCGTTTACATAATACCTGAAGCCTCAGACTTGGGTGGAGATAGGACCACTAAGGCTCTAGCATAGTGTAGACATAGGCCAAGTGTTTCTGCAGAAATCCCAGAGCCAAGTGAATGACATGAATGTCAGCAAATAATTTATATTGTCCTGGTTCTTCTCCACTGCATTGGTAAAGGCAACTGAGGGTTGATTGAGTTCATATTATTCTTATGCCCATTATCCTGCTTTCTGTGAGTTTTATCCATCATGGAAAGGGTTCACTTGACAGAGTTCAGAGCATTGAAGAGAAATTCCAGAGAGTGTCTGCCCATCCTCTGAAAGAGTCTTTGAGGTCAACTTTCAGGGCATGGTAACAGGCATGCCACTTCCACCAGGCTCCCAAGCTAAGGAGTCACTAGGCATCCTAGGTGGCTAGAAATGGGAGATACGACTGTTCAACAGGAGCAAGAAGGTACTTTGTGTCCGAGAACAGTGCTATCAACCAGCTGCACTTACAAACAAGTCATTCAACATCATGGAACCCTGGTACGGCGTGAGAGGCAAGAGAAAAGAAGGGAATCAGAGTACACTTCTTCTGCATCACCAAGGGAGAAAATGTCGTTTCTATCATAAGGTGTCACAGCCTTGAAGGAATTGCTCATTACAGCATCCTGAAAGTGCCCAGGGAGGATACAGGAAAGGTCCAAGTAAGGAAATGGACTCAAGGAAATTCAAGTTGTGACCTTCATTCTGAACAATTAAGAGTTTAAACAGAAAATTAGAATCATTGAATTTGAAAGCCAGAAGGGATCTTAAAGGTCAAATAGGAATCTCTCCATTTAATTTACATGTTCATTAAACATTGATTGAGTAAATGATCATTCAGTCTCAATTCCAGTATTTTCAATGATAGTTCTTATTTTAAGAAGTCACTTCGTATACCAGATCGAAGTCTGCTTCCCTCTAACTTCATGTGTTGGTGTTTGGTACCCAGTCTGGAGTAGCACAGATTCAGATCAACCCTCATATTTCCAAATAGTTGAAGACAGCTGTCGGATCCAACCTCCAAGCCCTCATTTCTTTATGCAGAATACCCTTAACCATTCCTCATGACTATCTCATAAGTTTTGAACTCCATCAAGAGAAGAATCTAAGTTCAATCTACTTTTCTATTCCATACAATTCTTAATACTATGACTAACATATAGCAGGTAGTCAATAAATATGAGCTGAATATGAATACATGAATTAATACCTATGTATCCACCTGATTGTTCAACATGTCCTCTTAGATGCTTCAAAGTTACTTCAACTCAACTCCAAGACTTAAGTTAAGATCTTCCTTTTAAATATGATCCTTTCCTAAATTTTCTTATCTTATATATCATCTTAGAGCCACACACTTCTCTCCATCCTCCCTAACCAACACCTTGGTCCAAACTACCATTTTCTCCTCTGAATCATTTCATTAGCCTTTTGAATGAGGTAGCTGATCTCTGGGACATTCCAATAGGTCCTCTTCACAGTAGCCAAAGCGATCTCTTCAAAGTAAGATTATGATCATGTTATACTCCTGATTAAAAACCCTCAATGACTTCCCATTTCTTAAAGCAAAATCCTTAAAGAATCCTTAAAACTTTAAGAAATCCTTAATTTCTTAAAGACCAAAACCCTTACAGTGACCTCTAAGACCCTGCTCAGTCTGACCTCTTCTCACCTCCACTGCCGATATCTCTCACACTTCTCCCTCATTTTCCATTTCCTGTCAAACTGGCCTTCTTCCAGTGGCTTGAATACACCAAGTACCCCCCCTACCCCAGGGCCTTTGCACATATTGTTCCCTCCCTATGGCATACTTCTTCTATTTCCTTACCATTTATTTAACTCCTGTTCATCTTTTGGATCAAAGTTGACACATCAGTTCTTCATAGATGTCTTGAGATGTCCCAGCAAGTTCAGATTTAGGGTTTTAAATATACCTTTGTATTTCAGTTTATAATGTATTTCATTAATTTGATTAATACCTAGCTTCTCACTACTTTGTAAGCTGTGAGAGGCCAAAGACTCTATCTGCTCTTGCTTATCTTAAGCCTGACAAATTGCATGAATATATATTTGTATGAATAATTGAATGACTTTCCTAGATTCCAGGATTTCCCAGATTTTGGTGATAATCATTGACTCTGGGCCACAGGTGGGCCCCAAGCCTTACTATAATCTCACTTTTGAGTGGTCTGGGAGATTCCAGAGTCACCTTGAGACAGAGACCAAGTGTTCTCAGAGACCAGATTTCTACCCACTCTCTAGCTGTCTGACCGATGCCCATCTTGGGGCACACAGGACTGGGAGGATCAGAGGATCCTCCGTAGTAGATTTGAGCCAGTTCCCACATAGGGAGCTGAGACAGGTAAGCAAAACCTGCCCAGAGAAACTGGCCAGCTACGGGGAGATCAGAGGAGTCAATGTTACTATTTTCTCAGTGACTCCTGGCTGAGCTTATGATGAATCCTTTTAGTGTTTTGGATTTTATGTGGGTATTTTCAGTAGCTATATTATTAAAATACACAAGCTTATAATTTGAGGGTGCATGTGCTCATCCCTCAGCTATGTACTGCGCACGTACAGTATTCCCGTGCTTTGCCACATGCTGAGTTATACAAACCACCAAAGCTCAACTCCTGTCCTCAGGGCGCGCTTTCTAGTGGAGAAACAGACATTATAATAGAGACATTAACAGAGGAAGGAGCCCACAGCTGTGCGGGCAGAGAGAAGGAAGCGATGGCCTGGGGCTGGGGGTGGCTTCTCAGAGGAAGTGATGTGAGCTCCTAACAGAAAAAGAACTTGCTTCCCTGAGATGATACAGGCTTGGAGGTTCTTGAAGATGACCCAGGAAGGAAGGTAAGAATCCTTGACAGTTAAATTCACCCACGCACACACACACACAAGCCTCCCTTTGGCTCTGATGTTCCCAGCTTAAAACAAATTGAAAACTGATGGAAAAATCAACCTAGACTAGACATAATCAGTCTTTTTTTGTGGGGAAGCTAATGTCTATCAGAACTTCCATGGGGCCCCTTAACCACAGACATAGCAAACTCTCTGCCAAGCAAAGCTGAGAGATTTCCATGATGCTGCCATGGTCCACAAAACGGACCAGCTAAATGGGAACAGTGTGGGTTAAGGAGATAAATAATTAAGAAAACCAAAGAGGAAGGGGGGAGGCAAAAAAGAGCATTATTTCCTTAGGTAATGGTCACTCCCTTTAACTTTTTGTTGTTATTAAAGAGCCCTTCCAAACCTCTAGGATTTCCCAGAATTTGGTTCTTGGAGGCACTGACCTCTTCCCCATCCCACTAATGGGAGCTGTGAGGAAATGTGTAGAGACCACTATGAAAGTAATGTGCTCCACAGGGAGGCAAGCAGCGTGGGTGCGACTAGTCATGAACTTCCACTCCTGTGTGTCCTTTGATTTCATTCAGTTAGAAATATTGAGAGTTCTCCTCAGATAAGCCAGCACCTTACAGTCTACACTAAGTCTATAAATCTAAACCCATGGAGTTGTTTTTAATCAGAGCAAAAGTACAACTTTTCTCCCATGAAGTATAAAAAATTCAGCTACAAACTGAGCCATTTTGTTTCCTGCTTCTTCTCCAGGGTTCTCTCTCTTCTGGGAGCTCTGGAAAGAAACAGCTGTCGTATTTCTAGTAGCCTTCCATATTTCCCTCTTTGTATTTTTCAACTTTGCTGTGGTAACAAACAGCCCCAATATCTCAATAGCTTAACAATGAACATTTGCTTTTTGCTCCAGCTTTTACTACAAGTTGGTGGCTACAAGGTGTCTGTGAAGCTCTGCTCCCTTCTTCTTCCCATTCCAGAATCCTGACGAAAAGATAACTCACTATATGGGGCACACTGTCTCATAACAAGGGAAGAACAAGAGAGCTGCTGGCAGAAACTCAAGATGCTCCTCAGAGCGTCTGCTCAGACATTGCATACGTCCTGCCCACCCACGCTCATTGGCCGAAGCCCTTCCATGGCCACGCCCAGAATCAGCTGGGCAGGGACCATGCCCCTCCCACAAAAGGCACCACAAGACACGAAGCATCGGCAAGAATTGATAATCCTCTCATATAAAAGGGAGGAGCAAATACTTGAGAATAATGATACAACCTATCACAATCTTGGACTCCACCCGTGTAATTTGTACCCAGCATGGAGAGTTTCTCCCCATATCAACTAAAAAGAAATTTGGTATGATTTATTTTCTTCTTAGAAAAACTCTCAGGTGACACTTGCCAAATGGTTCTTAATGTCACTGTCCCTCAATATGTTAACAGTTATTAAGCAATTAAAAAGGATTCTATGGTCAAATAAGTTTGGCAAACTCTCTACCTTAATAGCCCTCTCTTAATACTCCCAATTCTTTATTACCATATTACATGCTCTGAGAACTGCTGTAAAGGTACCTACTTAGCCCAGAATTGGGTTGAGAGAATTCTTCCTATAATGGCTCAACCACTAACATCTCATGAGATTCTGATGACTAACGCTGCCCTCAAGGATTATGGGAGAATCACCCCATGGATTTTTGCTGCTTCCTCATTTCTGTGCATCCAGGCTGGAGGATGCCTAGTGATGGTGAGACGAGGTATGCATGAAGCCAACAGTTGTGTACAGTCCTCCAAAGGAGGCTTGCATTGTCGCTAAGATCAGACTCCATGTTAGGAATCTGAAGATGCTGTTCATCTGAAGATACTGCTCTTTGCCACGGAATTAAGTACAAACCCCTCAGATTGGCTTTAATTTCTTCTTCCTTTATGCAACAAATATATCTTGAGTCCTACTCTGTGCCAATACTGCACCAGACATTAAGTACATAGTGTGAGCGAAATAAACACGGGCCCTGCCCTCCTTAAGATAAGAAGAGACAGATGTAAAACAAACACAGGAATAAATAGCAGATGATTATACAGCCTCTGAGCAGTGTGCTACACCGCTGGCCACCCATTCCTTCTTTTTTTTTTTTTTAAATTGAAGTATGATTGATTTACAATGTTGTGTTAGTTTCTGGAGTACAGCATAGTGATTCAGTTATATACACATGTATACATGTTACTTTTCGTTATAGGTTATTACAAGCTATTGAATATAGTTCCCTGTGCTATCAAACTCATGGTTACCAAAGGGGAAAGGAAGGGAGTGGAGGGGTCAATAAGGAGATTGGGATTAGCAGATACAAACTACTATATACAAAATAGATAAACCCTCATTCCTTCCTGAAATGCTTCTTTGTGCTTAGCTTCTGAGATGCTGTACTTTGCTGGTTTTCCTCTGCATCCCTGGCCTCTCCTTCTCAGTCCCCTTGCTGGTTCTTCCTCTGTCTGGCTTCTAAATACAGAGCACCCGGGGCCCTTGCCCGGGTCCTTTTCCCTTCTGTATCTCCCCCCAGGCGATCTCATTCATGCTTACAGAGTTGAATTCCACATATGTGCTCAGAACTCTGAAATTTGTATCTCTAACGCAAAACTCCCCTCTGAGAATATCATCTCTCCCCAATTGAACCACCTTAGCGCTTAACCTGTCTTGAGTCATTTCATGTCTTCTTTCTTTTCCCATGATTGTTTGGATGCTTACTTTATGCTGCTTCTAATTTATAACCCCTTGAGGGCAGGCATCCTTGGTCTGTTTCATCTTCAGTTTCCACGGGGTGATGCATAGTAAGAGTTTAATATATGATTATTAAATTTAATGTTTGAACTGAATTTCTGCTTTAGGGATCACTGAGACAAAGAGTGGAATGAAAGGGAATATTTTATTTAAAGAAATAATGCCTCGTCCTTCTGTATTTCCAAATGAAAAATCTCTGATGAGAGAACCCAGCTACATACTTTGGCATGAGTGGCATAAATTTAAAAATGCTCAATCAAGCTAATATCTTCCCTTGTGGTCACAGAAGCTGCCGCAAAGGTTTTATAAATTGCCTGCGTCCCCACACCCATCTGGCAATGCCGGATGTCACAGCCGCGGATGACTTACTCTTCACAGTAGTCCCCACCCACATCTACTCCCTACTTTGAAATGAAAGGATAAAAGAAAACGACAAGGGTTTACCTAAAACCCTCCCACCAGCCAGAGCAGGGGTTCAACCACGTCATGCTGATTCCTCGATTTAGATTCAGGGTCAAAGAGGAAGTCGATGGAGGACGACTCCCAGGATTGCAGAAAGATGGTTTTCCAGCTGCTCTAATAGCAGCTTGTGGCAACTGCACCTTGGCTCCTTCATCTGAATTTCGATCCTGTTCTTTTCCAAGCTTCTCCCCACCAGTCAAAATCTGCTCGTTTTAATCACCTCTAGATGAAAAGAGGACTGATCGCCTAGAGAAAAGCTAAGTCTTTTTGTACACAACAATCTGCCTAAGTGGGTCGGGGTCCACACTGCCCGTGAAGAACACACAGGGAGGCCCTGATCATGACGCAGACACGGAGCCCACGGCCCCTTCGTGTACGTACACAGAAGCTGTTTTTTCTCATTTTGGTTGCCCTAAAAAAAAAGTTGTCCTTGGCCTCCACCTGCTTGAAGCTTAGGGCTTAGTCTATCAAAACAAGAGGAAAATTGTCTGGATTACATCCCTTCTGTAAAAACAAACATTTTTCAACTACCATAGCATTTTTTTTTTATTGAAGTGATTGTGTCAATTTCTGGTGTACAACATAATAGTTCAGACATACATATACAAACGTATGTTCCCATTCATATTCTTTTTTATTATAGGTTACTAAAAGATTTTGAATATAGTTCCCTATGCTATACAATAGGTCCTTGTTGTTTATCTATTATATATATATGTATTAGTTAGTATCTGTAAATCTCAAACTCCCAATTTATCCCTTCCCATCCCTTTTCCCCCAGGTAATCGTAAGTTTGTTTTCTATGTCTGTGAATCTGTTTTTGTTTTGTAAGTAAGTTCCTTTGTGTCTTTTTGTTTAGACTCCACATGTAAGTGATATTTTACAGCATTTTTCTTTCTCTTTCTGGCTTACTTCACTTAGAATGACGATCTCCATGTCCAACTATGTTGCTGCAAATGAACTGCCTTAACATTAAACTGTATTTTCTTTCTCTGCTGGTTTCCCTTCTCTACCCCACTTCCATGGATAAACACACAGTTTGTGCCATCACATTGATTAACAAGAGGCTCTCTGGGCTGACGGTAGTTGTGGAAACTCTGCTAAGCATTTGGTATTCTGTCCAGCTGAGTTTCCAGTCCTACTGTGAGTCAATGCAAACACAGCAGATTGTGAATAGAGGTAACAGTTCTCCTCCCGGCACGCTGCAGCTTCTGGGTCACCAATCTGGGTCTTGAGCTGGCATTTTGAAAAATCAGGTTTTCTGACAGAGAGAGATCATTGTCAGTTGAGTCTTGCAAAACTCCCCTTACCCTGTGCTCTCCCAGTCCATCTTCTTGGCAGGTGCCATTCCCTTGCATCTTTTGTTATCCTGCCTCCCTGATTTCTCACCGCAGCCCGGACTCTGCTGTCGGTTTAGATTGATACAGTGTGCTCTGTCAGGTACCGTGCAATTTCACTGGCAATGTCACTTCCGCTTGATAGATGTAGAGGTTGTTCATCCCGCAGGGCAGTCATGCTGCACGTGGTACTTCCTTTCCCCTCCTTTGGTAACTTCCCATTGCACACAGTCACTACTCAGCCATGCACCTGTGCAAGCTCTCAGACGACTTGGCAGTTAAAGCTCTGCCAGCTGGATAGCTGGTACTTCTACCCAGTAATCTTTTCATTCGCTCTTACTAAGTGTTCCTTACGCAGCTCAGTGTTAACAGCCCTTTAACTGCTCACATCCGCCATGTATATGACAGCACCTGTGTTCTAAACCAGGCTCTAACACAGCCACACCGTGGTGATCGTAAAACGACCGCTCGTAACTATGGTGCTCCAGCCACGATGAGTATGATGGATAATACTGCGTTTACCTTAGTCTTTGCCCCTACACCCAGGCCCACTTTCTACCCAGGACTCACCATAAGCCCAGCAGAGCCAACCAGAATGTCAGAGATACACAGGGTAAGGCGAATGACAAGGACCCTGGGTTAGAGTGACTCAAACTGCTGTAGGACCCACACCCACTCAAATACTAACTTTCCCACTTAGTTGGTTCAGAAGTCTCTTTTTCTAGGCCCCAAAGCTACCTCAAGGCCTCTTTTTTTTTAATCTACCCAGCTGGCTTTCGCAAAGCACACTAGAGCAATTCCATTGATTCCTCACTTAGCTCCAGATCTTTAGAGCTGACCTCATGTTTTAGCATTCTTTCAGCCCCATTCCCTTTTCCCTCCCAACCTGTGATAAAACTAAGCAAAAGTAGCAGGTGTGTTAGCGCAAAGCCCAAGAAGTAGGAGATACTTCCGGAAATGTGTCTAGCCTTGAAGGGCAATCAGAAAAGGCATGGGTGATGTGACTTTTTGTTGGTGGCGGTGGGAGCCCCCAGCACGGAAGCCAGGCCGTCCTGGCTGCTGGGCCATCACATCCCTCTCCCAAGGGAGAGAAAATGAGGCATCCGTCTTGGCATCTCCCCTCTTCTAGCAGCACGGTCCCAACCTGGAGGTTAGGGGCATCTCACTCTCTCCCTCTTAGGGTAGAGTGGGTGGGGTCTCACTCCCAGGGAGGCCTCCAACAGCTCTCTCCTCTTTTTTTTTTTTAATAGAAGTATTGAAGTAGTTAGTTACAATGTCAATTTCTCAAGTGCTGGAGAGGCTGTAGAGGAAAGGGGAACCCTCCTTCACTGCTGATGGGAATGCAGTTTGGTGAAGCCACTGTGGAAAACAGTATGGAGATTCCTCAAAAGACTAGGAATAGACTTACCATATGACCCAGGAATTCCACTCCTGGGCATATATACAGAAGGAACCCTACTTCAATATGACACCTGCACCCCAATGTTCACAGCAGCACTATTTACAGTAGCCAAGACATGGAAACAGCCTAAATGTCCACCAACAGATGACAGGATAAAGAAGATGTGGTATATTTATATAATGGAATACTATTCAGCCATAAAAATGACAACATAATGCCATTTGCAACAACATGGATGTTCCTGGAGAATGTCATTCTAAGTGAAGTAAGCCAGAAAGAGAAAGAAAAATACCATATGAGATCGCTCATATGTGGAATCTAAAAAAACAAAACAAAGCATAAATACAAAACAGAAACAGACTCATAGACACAGAATACAAACTTGTGGTTGCCAAGGGGGCTGGGGGTGGGAATGGACAGACTGGGAGTTCAAAATGTAGAATAGATAAACAAGATTACACTGTATAGCACAGGGAAATATATACAAGATCTTATGGTAGGTCATAGTGAAAAAAAAATGTGACCATGAACATATACATGTTCATATATAACTGAAAAATTATGCTCTACACTGGAATTTGACATAACATTGTAAAATGACTATAACTCAATAAAAAAATGTTAAAAAAAACAGTATGTCAATTTCTGGTGTACAGCATAATGTCCCAGTCATGCATATACATACATATATTCGTTTTCATATTCTTTTTCATTAAAGATTATTACAAGGTATTGACTACAGTTCCTTGTGCTATACAGAAGAAATTTGGTTTTTATCTATTTTTATATAGAGAGGTTAACATTTGCAAATCTCAAACTCCCAAATTTATCCCTTCCCACCCCCTTTTCTCTGGTAACCATAGTAAACAATCTCCCTTCCCTTTGATAGAAGGATAAAGGGCTTTATTTGTTTCCCTGAGGGAGATGAGGCAGAGAGCTTCCCTAGTGTTGCAGGACAGCCCAGTTCTGTCCCCACCCTCTACCCTGGGGGACACGTTGCAGGTTGGAGGATATAGGATGCATAAGATCTTAATTCCACAGCCATCTGGTGCTGCAGCTACAAATTTGAGCTCCCTAACAGCACGGACGCATGCTCATTCTACTTGTTCATAAGCTCCCATCCCCCAAGGAGGAAAAAAAAGCGTTTATTGTCTTTCTGTCCCTGACCTGTTCCCCAGCCCTACTCCCACCCATAAACCTTGAGCAGAATATTTTTCTTCAATGCAGAGAAGGAGCGTACAGAGGGCTCTTTCTTCCATGCAGAGAAAATACTACAAAGAGGGAGGGGCTTCTTTTCAGGTCCTTTTAAACAAATAAACTATCTGCTCCCAATCCAAGTTTTTCCAGCCTTTTCCTCTCTATTGGGTAGTGTTGGATGGAAGTACAAAATTACAATTGTTTTGGTTCTGCTTTTTTATAAATAGACTTCTATCAACAAAGGCATAATCCTATCAGCATGAACATCTCTGTCCTGGCCTCTCCATGTGGACCCCAGACTCCATGATTATTCCAGCAAGCAGGGAAATCAATTCTACAATGCCCCAGAGATGACAATAGCTTTATATTTCTACCCACATCTCTCTCTGTGACAGCAAATCTTCACCATGAAATCAGCGACTGCAGGAGAGCAGAAGGTAGTCCATGCTCTCCAAAAACACGTGGTCACTTAAGGGCACCGCACACATTTTCATTCTTTATGGCAGTTCTCCTTGGATGACTGTGGCCTGCTGTCAGCCTAGGAATTACAGGACAAAAAGCAAAGAAGGAAGGAAGGAAGGAGGGAGGGAGAAAGGGAAAGAGGGAAAAAAAAGAAAACACAAGTTGAAATACAGCGAGAACTCATTACTCTGTGGAGCTGGTGAGCTGCAGGCTGCGTTCCGTCTCACACACACAGCGACGTGTTGTCCAATGTGAGGAATCATAGCCAGCGGACTCCCCTGGCTGAATTCACCCTCTCAGAAGGGAGCTGAGTAGTGTAAAATTTGGATCTTGAAGGGCAGGATGGGATTAAGAGGAAGAACCACAAGATTAGCCCATTTCAATCAGGAGAGAAGGATCCAGAAGAACAAGGACCAGAGCACTTAGCAACTATTTACTAAGCACCTATTAAGCATGCAGCACTGCTGTGAGAGCTCAGGGCAACAGGGAAATGGCCAAAGCTGACCTCAGCAGGTCCTCACGGCTTCTGATGTGTTAAGAAGCCAGCAGGGGCAAATCACCAGAGAGGGTCCTCCTGTGTCCTGGAGACGAGGACAAGACCAGCAGACCGTCCCAGTCACAGATGACACCTGGCCACAGGCTTTGCCTCGTCCCCTGAGGACAACACTGCAGTAAGCCTGTAGCGCACTGCAAGGTTGATTCTTTGCTTTACTAAGTGATGCTCTTACATAGCGGTTTTCAATCCTGGCTGCACATTAGAATTACCTGGGGAGTTTCTAAAAATCCTGATGCCCAGACCTCACCCCAGACTAATTAAATCCGATTCTCTGGGGGTAGTACCCAGGCTTCCGGGGGAACCCAATGTGAGGCCAAGACTGAGAGCCACTGCATGGAGGTGACTGTCCTAATCACCTCTCCAGCTTTTCTCTGCCCCACATTGCTCTTATCCAAGCTGTTACATTTCCTTTTTATTTTTAGTTTGTTCTGCTTTGTCCTTTCAGGAGATAATTCTACAATACCCCCATTAAACCTCTTTCCATGCTTTAACTTTGCATTTCCTCATTTACTTTTCATTGCCCTCTCCACTTTCTCCATCTTCCCATTATGTTTTATTTTGTGCCGTGTTTCCTTTAGCCCAGCATCAACATTTACAGGGCACTTAACTGCTACTAAAAATTAAATCCAACGCAATCATATTTTCCGTTAAATTCTGGGCGACAGTTATGGGCTCTTGTCCCATGGAAGATGGGCATTTTGGCAAAGTCTACCTCCCTTCCTAGGAAGCAGCTCCCTTGGTATATAAATAAAAATTCAAAATAAGTTTATTGCAACAAAAAATAAAAGGAGCCTCCGGAATGAGAGGGGTGAGAAAATTAAAAGCTATCTGAAGCTAAACAGCAACATTGCCCTGCCAAAATCTTGGCCTCTCTCTGGGAAGGAGATGCTGCCTTTTGCAGCAGAAAGAAAAAGTCCCCAGACCGTCTGTACAACTGATGAGGCTGTTCTCTGGTGGCAGAACATCTGCTGAATCAGGCTCATTTCCTCGTTGTCCACAGGCAAACCCAAGAGCACCCAGGCGAGTCGCTGAGACACTGAGGGCTGAAAAGGCCAGGAGACGGTCCCACCAGCAGACCCTTCAGTCCTCAGGGGAAGCCACGCAGCACATCTGCCTGCCTCCTCCTGCCGCTCGGCTGCTCAGGTAAGAGCGGCCGTGGAGCCTGGGGGCCTGCAGCTTCCTGGACCAGGTAAGCCGGGGGAGCCCGAAACACTGTCACCCCCGTGGAGCCCAGCCCGGCACTGAGCCCACCAGAAAGCCCAGTGGATGTTTGCCCAATAAGTAGATGAATGAATAAATGACACCCCCCCCTCGCAATGAAATGACTCCTGGGAGAGATGGTGGGAAGTCTGAACTGGAAGATGGCTCTGAAATCCCACTCTGGTACCTCGGTCGCTTGAGGCTCTGAGAGGCTGCCTCAGTTTCTCTCTCTTCCTTTTCCCTTGATTTTGCTTTTCAGGAATCAAGCTGGGTGTCTTGTTGGAGCAAGAAGAGATGTTTGCTCCTTTTAGAAGAAGCAACATTTTGCAGCGCCGAATACCAGGGGCGAGAAAGTGAATGATCAGACTACACACTGGTGTCAGAGGAACCGAGGTGACTCCCTGAGCTTCCTATACCAACAAGGAGACTCCTATGGCCCTGGTTTCTGGGACAACTTTTACTGGTAGAGGCCAGTCGTCCCTGGAGAATCTCGAAACCACAGTGAGAGAGGAGGGACTTACTATTCCGCCCTCTGCACAGTGCCTCTGCCCCCACATAGGTCACCCCACAGCCTGCCCCTCCCACCTTCCACACTGGACAGCTGACCCCAAGGGCAGGTCTAATCGTAGATCCTTCACAAGGTGGACCCATGTCCATTATTTTATGACCACATGAGGCAGTATCATCCCCATTTTATTGTCTAGAAAACTGAGAGGAGAGGGTAAGTGACTTGCACGTGAGTGACGGTGTCAGGTGCAAACTCAAATCTTCCAAGCCTAAATCCAGAGGTCTCTCCACTACAGCCCAGCTGACCCCTGAGACTAGAGCAGACAGTGACAAACGAGGGCTCTCGAGTTCCAGGACCCTGTCCAGCCCAGGTCTGTGGATGATATTCTGTCTGGGGCTTGTCTGAGCAGAGGTGGGGTTACCCAGCTGCCTGCTCTCAACAGTCTGTGCAAATTCAAAGAAATGGAGTATGAGTTCAAAGAACTTACTTGAAGAACAGGAAAAGCAGCCCTTTGCTTGAAATTATGGGGAAGTGAAGGCTGGAACGAGGATGAGAAGGCTTGCAAGATCACTACTACCCTCAAATCTTTCATTTTTCCTTCTGTTCTCAAAGAGGCCAGTAAACAGATCTTCCTCCACTGCTGTGCCATCCGTGTTGATTTGCCCGGGACTCCCCAAGAAGCACCCTGGCCCTGAAAATGAAATATTAACTACCTCAGCCTCCCAGTCGTCTCTCGCCACTGTACACGAATGGAAAAGCAAAAAGGGCTTGTGGCTGTTTGCGTCTTGAGGTCAGCAGTGCCTTTCTTAACCCTCCTCTGTCTGGTAAAGCCGAAGGGAGCAGAAGTTCCTGTAATGATATGGTCTATATTTAGAGCCACAACCTGAAGCCCGGGAGCTCTTCCTGGGGCCATGATCTTGGCAATGAGGTCCTTACTGGTCTTGCTCTGCGCTCCTGGTGTTGCACACAGCACGTCACTTTCAAGTCAGACATCCTGTGGGCAGAAGACATTTCACTTTAGTCAGCGTTTTTGAGGATCCACATGGGTTCAGCAGGTGCTTCGGGGGGGGGTGGTTCACAGGAGATAAAGCCAGACCAGACAAGTGTGAGGCGGCACTTGTACATTGTAAAGCACCGCATACAAAGGCAATTCCAGATTTTCTACAAAGGAGGAGCCGAGGGGCTGCAATCTGATTAAAAGATGCCCCAGGGACCTGCCTTGAGGCTGTATTTTCACAACACATAAATTGGGAAAGATGTGGGAGAATGGGAGGCTGCGGGAGATTGTGGGGAAGGATGGGTAAAGCCCTCCCAAAGTGGTCGTCTCTCCTGCTAACTGTTCAAGTCTGAGATATCCTTATTTTTATATAATGACGTCAAGGAGAAAGGAAACTAACAAATAGCCAAGCGATAAGCCAAGGGTTTGCAAAATAATCTCATTTATTATTTATTCCTCCCAGACTGTAAAGGAGCATTAGGACTCACCAGAAGTCACATGAAGGGACAGACTTCCTCCGGGACCTGGGAAGCTGTGGTCTAGTTGCTGACCTGGGCACAGAAAGAATGACTGAACACAAGGAACTCAGCCTGCCCAGAGCCTGAGAAAGAGGGGATCCAAGGACGGGACCCTGGCGCACTCTTCTACCTTCCACCTGGGCACCCCACATGGGCCATGTTTGCTCTCAAGTTCCATCTTGCACCTGCCACAGGCCCAGGCCAAGCTTTGGAGGCTGGTCAGGAGAGCAAGTCCCCCAGCCACACCCTGCCCCGAGCTCCTTCCAAATCAAATCAAGTCAAACCATCATCTGTTCCCTCCCCGCTACTGTTTTCCACTTCTAGCTTTGATATATTGTTTGTACTGACTCTTTGCTAGTCAGGCCTAGAGGAAGGTTGTTTTTGTCCATTAGCAATAAATTCTTTCTTTTGTTTGTGGCGGGGAGAGGAGGTAGTTAGGTTTATTTATTTAATTTATTTTTAATGGAAGTCCTGGGGATTGAACCCAGGACCTCAGGCATGCTAAGCGCAGGCACCACCACTGAGCTACACCCTCCCCCAGCAATAAACTCTTAAAATGACCTCTAACCTGTGGCAGATAGAAATCACAGCCATAAACATAAGGGCAGTCTTGGAATTTTTCAGAATGACTTTCTGAATAATTTGGGAGAATTCAACAGAAATTATCCAGGAAGAGAGGCTCATTTGAGCTCTGCTAACTGTTCTTTTCATATTAATGCAGCTTTAAGCTTCCAACACTTCCTCCTGACTCAGGGCTTTTTTTAAAATATGTCCTCATTTCTTATATAGAATGTTCTTTCCCTACACATGCCCTCTATATCTGGCGTATCAAGCAGAGTCACAACAGGAGACAGAGGGTGCTCTCAAAGGGGTGATTAGAGAGAACCTAATGAAAAGGACACAGCAAAGGTGTGGGCAGGTGTTATGGACTTAATTGTGTCCCTCAAAAAACAAGACATTGAAGTCTTAAGCCCCAGTACTTCAGAAAGTGACTTTATCCAGAAATCAGATCATTGCAATTGATGTAATTCATTAAGGTTGATGTAATTAGTTAAGATGAGGTCATGCTGGAGTAGGGCGGGCCCCTAATCCAACTTGACTGGCGTCTTTGTAAGAAGAAAGCCGTGTAAGGACAGAGACTGGGAGAACACTGTGTGACAGCAGAGGTGGAGGTTGGAGGGACGCAGTGACAAGCCAAGCCAGCGAACACCAAGGACGGCCAGCCAACCTCCAGGTGCTAGCAAGAGGCCAGGAAGAATTCTCCTAAAGTTTCAGTGGGAGCACGGCCCTGCTGACACCTTGACTTCAGACTTCTAGCCTCCAGAACTGTGAGACAATAAAGCTCTCTTGTTTTAAGCCATCCAGTTTGTGATGCTCTGTTAAAGCATCTCTAGGAAACTGATTCAGCTGGGTTGTGGGAAACCAAAAAGAGATGGTGAAACACAGTGGGTCTGGCAACAGAAAAACCACTACCACCCTGCGCCTGAAACACGAAGTACAGGAGGCTGCACTGAAACTTGCAGCTGTAGGAGGGGAGCCGTAGCCTCCAACAGAGGAGAGCAGCCGCTGCCGACCCACAGCCTGGCAGGAAAGAATGCAGGGTATTAACACCCCACCTCACCCTCCTCCTTCTCGCCAGTCTCCTGGTGGGGCCTCCCATTAGCCAAACTAAACAGGACCCCAGAGAGCAGGGATCCAGGTGGATGCTGTCCATTGAGGTCAGCCTCATAGCGTAGGAAACACAGTGATCTGGAGGGACAAACAGACACTATATAGCTAGCACACGCTGGTAACTTCTGCTTTTGGGTCTCAGTGCAAAGTTACTTCTTCAGGGAAGCCTTCCCTGACCTCCTGACCAGCTCCTGGCCCCTGTAACATGTTCTCATAAGCCCCTTTCTGCAGAGTACTTGTCACTCTGCAGCGGTGGAGATATTCATTATGCAAATCGTTAGGTGATGACTGGATCTCATGCAAGAAACTAAACTCCATGAAAGGAGAGACCACATCTGTCATTCATCAGTGAATCCTCAAGGTCCGGTGCCTAGTGAAAATGACTAGATTTATAGGCTGTGTCAAGAGCTAGGCAACCCAATATAAAAGATCAAGTCTGTAAGCCCAGAGAAGTTGCTCTTGGCGACTTTCAAAGAACTATAGAGAACAGACACCCTTGTGTCCTACAGGGGGCTACAACAGTGCAATTTGTAATATCAAAGGATGTGACCACCATAAGTACTCGCTAAAGGTCCTCTAGGAATGGTGGGTGAGATGGGCAGTTGAGTAAATGAGATGATGCAAGGATAGGGAGAATGACTACCATGAGATCAAGCAAACACGAGCTTGCTTCTATCTGAATTTCCTCAGGCCAGTCTGGTCCAGGTTACACTGGGGAAAACAAGGAAGCTCAGGTGGGTCTTTCCTCCACTAGCCTAGGAGTTTAGGTCCTGCACCCATCCTCAGATATCAGATACTGCCTTTGCTCCTGCCTCTTTTCATACCAAGTGACCCTCTTCCTGGCATCGGCTGCACCCTCTAATTTCCATTATTAATTTACCTGTTTAATTTCAATATCTCATAGATTACCAGCCTTGAAATCCAAACATGCAGGTCCCAAGAATTCAAATACATATAAGTGTATATGCCTCTTGAAGTGCAAATAAATTTCGCTGTCATAAACTGGGAGGGGCTGGTGGTTTCTAAGTTTCTTACGACACTTTGCTTTGTGTGATTCATCATAGGTGACCTAAGAGCCCTTCAGAAAAGAAGATAGATGAGCTCAATAAAGATCAGGAAACTCTAGGTCAAACTGGGACACAATGTTTCATTGGATTGCTCTTTTTCACTTGGGTGAATCACCCTTATCCAGGTTTGCCTGGAGGGAGTTTGCAGTAAACACAACAATCATTACAACACCCACAGTCCTTGCGCACTCACTATCCACACTATCGATCTCTTCCTTTGATGGTTCTTTTGATTAAAGCTGTAGATGTCAATAATTCTTCTTGGCATTAACTCTTAACTTCACCACAGAGCGTATGACATGTATTACTGTGAAAACAGAGCTATAATATCAAATTTCTAGGGCGGGAAGCAGAAACCTTGTTATCCATCAAATAGACTGCCTTAACCTCCTCCCACCTGCCACCTGGCCTTACTTCTCTGGACCCTGTGATTGATCCCGAAGGGCATTGTCATGTCATTAACAGGCAGCAGGCGCTGTGTGCCTCCTGGGATTGGCAAAACCTCTCTTAAGTAATGGAACAGCTGCTGACGGGGGCTGGTTTCCTCAGTCACAGATGCGTCACAGAGAAGGTGTTGACTCAGAGGAGAGACGGGGCAGAGGACGAGTTGGGAGGCAGAGCCGTCCCAAGCGGAGCCATGCAGAGGGTCTGCTCCCTCATCCATCTCACCCTCTTCTGGGCAGGTAAGGCAGATCCCGGGACCTCAACCAAGCAAGAGTCAGCAATAAGGAGGCGTCAAGTCTGCCTGGCCACGAGCACAGTGCACCTTAACTCAGTGGTCTCAGCCCCGGTCCTCACTGAGCCCCTCTCATGTCTTTTCTCTCAGGAATCATGTCAGCAGATGTGTTGGTGCCTCAAGAGGCAGCAGTGACTGTGTCTGTGGGGGGATCAGTCACCCTCAGGTGCTCCATGAAAGGAGGGTCCATCAGTGACTACTATAACTACTGGTACAGGAAGATTCCGGGTAGCACAATGACTTTCGTATTTCAAGAAGGGGGCACGTATGGCCCTGGTTTCCAGGAAAACTTTAGAGGTGAAGTTGATCAAGTAAACAACCAGGTCCTGCTGGAGATCCTCAAGGCATCAGAGAGAGACAAAGGATCTTACTACTGTGCAGCCACTACCACCCTGCAGCTGGTTCCCTTCTGAGCAGCTCCAAAACCATGGAGATCTAAGTAGAACAGTGGTTCCAACAAGATCCTGACTTTCTTTCCACCAAATAGTTTAAGGAGTGGGGGCCAGAGAAGGATGACATTCCTGCCTTTCTTCAGACTCAGTCTCTCCTGGCCCACCCATGCACTCCCATGGTGCTGAGATCGGCAGTCCCCCGTGGGATGTGGCCGTGTGGGGCCCAGTGTGGGGCAGGAGAGGAGAGACGGACCCCAGGTCGGAAAGTGTAGCATTTACTGTTCACTCTTAACAGTTTTCTTGGAGCTTCATAAAAGACTTGGACGCACATCCCAAAGTACTTAGGATGTGGCAGAGATTGAAGGGGTACTTTCCAAAGTATGATGATGAGTGATGTCCAGTTTCTCCCAAACCATATACACCAGGAATCTAGCTGTTCTAGAGGCAGGGTGTTGGGAAGGTGGCAAGACTTCCTTTCTTCCCTCAGCACCAATAGTACGTACTGCCTGTAGTCTTGTCCAGCGTGGAGGGCAAGATTTGCTCTCTAGCATTTTGTACTGTTTTGGAATTTTGCCCTCTTTCCCATCTCTACCTCTTTGCTTCTTCTATATGTGCTAGAAGCAAAACATTGAAAAACTTCTTCCACTGACATGACCTTTTTTTTAATTGAAATATAGTAGATTTACAATATTGTGTTAGTTTCAGGTGTACAGCAAAGTGATTCAGTTTTACATATTTTTTCAGATTATTTTCCATTATAAGTTATTATCAGACATTGACTGCAGTGCCCTGTGTTATACAATAAATCTTTGTTGCTTATCTATTTTATGCATAGTAGTATATGTCTGCTAATCCCAAACTCTTAATTTATTCCTCCTCCCCTCCTTTCCTCTTTGGTAATCATAGGTTTGTTTGATATGTCTGTGAGTCTGTTTCTGTCTTGTATATAGATTCATTTGTATTATTTTTTAGATTCTACATATAAGTGATATCATATAATATTTGTCTTTCTGTGTCTGATTTAGTATGATATTCTCTAGGTCCATCCATGTTGCTGCAAATGGCATTGTTTTATTATTTTTATGGCCAAGTAATATTCCAGTGTGTGTGTGTGTGTGTGTGTGTGTGTATATACATATACTTATACATACATACATATATATACACACACACACACATATATCTCACAACTTCTTTATCCAGTCATTTGTTGAAGAACATTTAGGTTGCTTCCATGCCTTGGCTATTGAAAATAGTGCTGCTATGAACACAGGAGTGAAAATATCTTTTGGAATTAGAGGTTCCTCCAGAAATATGCCCAGGTGTGGGATGGCTGGATGGTAGCTCTATTTTTGGTTTTTTAAGGAACCTCCATACTATTTTCCATATTTCCAATCTACATTCCTACTCCACTGGCATTTCTTTCTCCTTCTTTGGACAGCTCAATTTATTTAAAAACCATTTTTTTTTTACTAAAATACAGTCAGTTACAATGTGCCAGTTTCTGGTGTACAGCCCAATATCCAAGTCATGCATATACATAGATAAGATCATTTTGGACAGCTCAATTTAAACTCCACTTTTATCTTGAACAATGTACTTTTCCAGATTTAGATGATTGACAGCCTATTCTGAGGCTGTGGCCTTCCTTCCGACCTCATCTAGAAAATCTGCCATTCACCTTGTTAAATACGTCATTGGAATTTTGGTGGCGGTGGGTGTGTTCAGTAACTTGATTATGGCAATGGCTTCATGGACATATAGGAATGTGTCTGAACTCACCAGGCTGTGCCCTGTAAATATGTGCAGTTTATTGTAAACACTGTGCAGTTTACTGTGCATCAAGTATACCTTGATGAATTTGCAAAAATATTTTTAAATTTTAAATAAAATTTCTTAAAGTGTCATTGGACTCCTTCTAGGGAAAATGTTCTGCAATTAAGCTTTCTAATCAAAGATCCTGCCCTCCACAGATGTACAGAGAGGCTTACAAGTGTTTGCCATACACACACAGTCGGTTCCAGTCAGAGATCCTCACTGTTCCACCAAGGGTCCTCTCAGTCTTCCCACCTCTGGGGATTCTGCCAGGACTTTCAAGTATGTACATATGAAAAAGAATGACATTTGTGTGTTAGTTATGTAGATGTCATCAATGTTTTGGAACCATGGTTATATAAGGCCTGCAGAATGGATTCCTAGGAAAAGACCCAGTGGGTCCTTCTGACACAGACTGGGAAGGATGTCTTTGATGAGGAGGAAGAGAGAAAATGTCTGGACAAATTCATAAAACTGCATGTGAACTGTAATAATAATTAATATCTGTTGTGCGCCTGCTGATGGATGACAAGCACTATTCGGAGCACTTCACATGTGTCATATGATTTAATCCTCTCAACAACCCTAAGAGCATTTTTTATTATCCTCAGTTTTACAAATGAGGACAGTAAGGCACAGACAAGCTAAAACACTTGCCCAGGAGACCACTGCCAGTAAGGGAGGGTGGCGGATTTCTGTAGCTGGAGGACACAGTATGTGATCCAGGGGGTTGGTGGGGGCTTTCATAGAGGAGACCATCCCCAGGATGCGGCAGAAATAAGAACAACAGGTCCGTGCCCTCGCCACCAGACCTGTTCAAATCAATGCTCCGTGACCATCTGTCAAGAAACTGGGACCATGCCTCAGTGGTCCCAGATGGCTTCTCAAATGTTTTCCAGATCTGAGATTTTGTGATCTTGACACAAGCTTCACTCTGCCTTCTAAAATCACCTGCATCTCTTCATCTTTGCAACAGGCATAAGAGTCATATCTTCAGAGGTAATAAGAGTTTCAACTTCACAGTGTTGTAAAAAGCAAATGATAGAAAGTAAATTGCATTGCACACGGTAGCTATTCCATGAATGTTACTTACCATAAGAGAGCGCAAACTATAAAGTGCAATAATGGAAGAGAAAGTGAACTGAATTACCGAGTGCCAAGGCGCAACCACTTTGCAGGTGTGGACTCACTTAGCCCTTAGGACAGCCCCGTGCGGTCGTCCCTGTCATTGTACAGATGGGGATACTGCGCCTCAGACAGCTTACCCAAGGTTACAGAGGCAGAGCCAGGATCTGGGTCTGGGTCAGAAGGTGGTGACGGTCCTGGCACTGGGCTGGGGGCTGGGGGGTACACTCAGGATACACATCATCTATCACAGTATCTGAATTAAAGCACGGCTGGGAATGAGTGTGTGATGTCCAGCCATCTGTGCGATGTCAGTCAAGGTTGCCCTTGACTCCTTGGCCGGTCCCCGGGAGAGGGGACCACCTCCCACTTCTCCCTCCCATGCATTAAAACACCAGTTGGATGGAATTTCAGCTTCCAGGCTGTTCTCCGGAGATGCCTCACTCCCGCGGCTGAAGGAGGAGAACCACTGCCCCGCCGCCTGCTGCTCACACTCCTGAGCCCTCCCTCCGTCAGCAGCTGTCTGCCAGGCCACACCATGGGACATAGACCTCCCTTCTGAGGCCTGTCAAAGGCAGCATCTTGTTGGACTCCTTTGGGTGCTCATGCGTTCACTGCCTTCTCAGAGGCTTGCCAGGAATGGCAGCTATAGGGGTCTGGGGCTAGGGTGGAGAGAGCCAGAGGAATTCTCTGGGTCCCTGGCAGGTCCATAGAATTGCTCACTTAACCATCCAGATATATCTGCACTGTGAAGCACACTGTCTGAGTCTGTCTCTTCCATTTTCACTGACTTACTATCACTTACATCGAGGCCACAAAAGGGCTCAAGATCTGTCATCCACCTGCATTCACAATGAGCAAACTGACATCAGACAGCGCTGCGGTGAATGAAGGTGCAGGAGCCGCCACGCAGAGAAGAGAACTAAGTTCAAACCAAACTTACCCCACTTTCAGTAGTGTCTTAACCACCCCCCGCTCCACCCCCAGCTCAGGGCCTCAGACTAACAAATTTCCCACACCAGCAAGTTGAAGAAATCCAGGATCGAGGCTTCCTTCTTACTCCCCAATTCAACATCTCGCCCCCAAATGTAAATTGAAATGATGAGGTTACACATCTCTAATATTTTTTGGTCAGAGCCCTTTATTCATTCCTCTGACAAATACCGTCTCTCCTCTGTGCTTAATTCTTCTCTATAGAAGAATTAGCACCACTTGATGTGCTGGATATCTTACTTGCTTGTGTGTTTGTTGTTGGGCTCTCCACTGGAGTACAAGCTCCATGATGGCCGGGATTTGTCTGTTTTGTTCACCGCCTTCACTCCCTTAACTCCAGCGCTTAGAATAAGCCTGGCACAGAATGGGCATTCAACGAATGTGCTGAATGAATGAGTGAGTGAAATGTGCAATGAGTGAGTACTCGGTACCCTGACATAGGAATGGCACATTTTCCTAAACAAAAGAGCAATTCCTAACTCCTTCTCACCCTCACGCTACCACCACCACCACCAAATGACTATGGAATTCCTCAGGAATGCAGAATCCCTGAGGTTTTGTGCTTTTAGCAATTGACATGAATACAAACACATGCACTGAGAGTGGAGCTGGTGTCTGGTGGCATGAGCCGACCACTGGAGGCACTCTCTGAAGGCACACCCTGGATGCTCGTGGCTCCCAGGTGCAGTCAGCCCAGAGCATCGTGCCACCCAGTTGGAAGAGGACCTGGTGATGGGACGAAGGAAGTCAGGCCAGTATCCAATTGCTCGTATTCATTTAAACAAGGCAGGTTCTCAGACTCTGTGCTTAAATAAAAAATCAAATACTCATAAATTTTCTATTGCCTGCGTACATGTGGGAGAATAGGGAAGCCTTAATTATCCTTTTCTGCCATGAGGAAATTGCCTCATGAGTATTTATAACTTTCAGAAAAAAGCAATGCCAACATAAATACATTATTAGGGCAAGAAATCATTAAGGAAGAAAACCAATCCAAAATGTAGACTTTGGGAGATTAAGCTGCTTTCATAGAATATAACAACATTCATTTATTTATTCAATAATAATTTATTAAGTAGCTGCTACTATGTGCCAGGAACTTTTCTAGAAATACTGGGAATCCAGAAGCTCATGAGTTTACTTTAGTGAAAATACAAAATGAACTCAGTACAAAATAAACTAAGTAAAATATGTGTTGGGTGATGCTAATCACCGTGGAGAAGACTTGCAGGGGGAGAGAGAGAGTATGTATTCGGGGGCTGGGGGAGGTAACGCCTTTAAATTAGGTGGTCAAGAAAGACTATAAGGAGAAGGTCACGTTTCAGCAAAAGCCTGGTATGAGAAAGAAGAGTAACATTCAGAGTCTGAGTGTTTGCTGGGCTTTTCTGTTAGATGTAACGTTTCCATGTCCAGTTTTATGACATATAATAGTATCAGCTTTTCTGCAACTTGCAGGACTAGGCAATAGCGTTTTCTTCTTCTCTTGCTGCGAGCAATTTCACTAGTAGTTCGGACTTCCATTTTTCAAAACCAGGTGATGGAATTCCACAAATTCGCACAAGTGGCAAGGAGGCAATCCTGAAAAGATCAAAACTCAGAACATGAAAAGGAAGATGGCGGAGTTGGATTATTGACTAATGGAATACGGGGCAGGTAACATTGGGCCCTTTACCTCGTCTCCCTCCTTAGGTGACCACATTCGATGGGCTGATGAGTGTGTCTTCCCAGCCATGAAAGAAGAGCATACAAATCGGGTGAAGCATTTCTCTCGCTCGTCCCCAGGATGACTCCACTCCAGCATCTCCACGGGAGAGGCTGCCACCTCATCTAAACCTGCAGACTCATGTGCCTCCTGCAAACTGTCCCAATAGACAGGGAGGCTGAAATAAAACATGTTCACCTCAGTGAGGTTCTTGGTTTTGCCTCATCTCCGGGAAGCCAGCCACAGATAAACCTGAGGAATTTGGAGTAACTATGGAGAAAGCTGGAGTGTTTTCACAATTCCTCGCAAAACTTTAGGGATTCCCCCTTCAGGACATCTGGGGGTCCTAGGACCACAGAGCCCAGGGTAGGTCCCGTAGTTGGCTTCCATCTTCACTGTCACCTGACAGAAGTGAGCAATGTTTCTCAGAGGCAGTGAGAAGGATAGTTAGCATCCACAGGGACATCATCAAAAAAAAAAAAAAACCAAAACACAAAAAACTAACAAACAAAAACACCAGCCTGAGTCTGAGTTGTCAGAAGCTCTGTCACGTCAAAGACTTCAACTGGGGTGGAGGGTGGGAAGGGATAGACTGGGATTTTAAAATTGTAGAATAGATAAACAAGATTACACTGTATAGCACAGGGAAATATACACAAAATGTTATGATAACTCACAGAGAAAAAAATGTGACAATGAGTGTGTATATGTCCATGAATGACTGAAAAATTGTGCTGAACACTGGAATTTGACACAACATTGTAAAATGATTATAAATCAATAAAAAATTTAAAAAAAATAAACTTCAACTGTGCCTGCAGAGCGCATGTTATAATCATGTGATTGATGGGGCATTAAGTACCGCAGTTGCCTTAAGGGGTGGGTGCGTAGAACGGTTTCATGCACCAAGTTGATAAATAAGGACACAAAGATCCACAAAGGAGCCAGCACTACAAGTGGAAATCAAAGAGCGACACAGCAGCAATAACTCTCCTCTGTGATAAGAATCAACTTAAAAATCTCTGAGTCCACAGCTAGTCGATTTCTCAGCATCCAAACCATCATCATGTTTTTCATGTGAGGCGTCTCCTCCTCAGCCCTGCAGCCCTACCTCGATCCCGGCCAACACACAGAGTGTGAGAACAGTGAGAAACTTCACCTCCCGGTTCATTCTTTTCCACTGTAGGTGTAGAAACTGAGGAATGGAGAAATTAAGTGACTTTCTCTCCATCCCACAACCAGCTAGTGGCAAAACCAGAAGAGAGCAGGTCTTCCAGCCCCTGGCCAAGAACTCCGCCCGCCACACCCCGAAACCTGGCCACCACAAGAAAGCCCCCTATTTCCCCTATATTTGCAGTTCACATTCCTGCTGTGCTGTTCTCCCCTCTGATCAGCTGGAAAGTCTCCTCCCAGCCAAGCTGAGCTGGAAGAGTAAGAAGTCTCATGGGCGTCGTGGGAGTGTGGGGCCCTCAAAGAACTTCAGGGGCTCCACTACAGTGCCATCCTTGCTTTCTACTTCTTTCTAAAAAACATTCCTTGAAATCTCATATCCTGCCCTTGGTCCTTTTGCATTCCTATGGAAGCCTAGCTCATACCAAGTGCACAGCAGGTGTTCAGTATAAAGAAGAAAGACTGGTCTCCCACTCTCTCATCTCAGCCTAAGTAAACTCCTGTCATTAGAGGACCCTGCTCCTCACCCCCTGCCCTTGGTCCCTGCAGCTGTGCCTCTGATCCTATCTGCTAAGGAACGGACCAATCGATGGCCAGAGCCTGCCTTCCATTCAGAAACAAAATCTCCCCTCCTTTCTTTTTCAAAATAAATGCAAGTCAGCAATATGGCAAAGCTGCTAAGGAAAAGAAAGCAAATGAGGCGCTATAAGATTGTAAGAATGGCAGTGTTATTATACTCAGCACTGGTCAGCTCCTCCCACAGGGTCACCAGCCTGGCATGTTCCTAAATTACCCTAAGACCTGGAGAAGTTGAACAGTGTTGAATTGCAGCCTGTGAAGGGTTATTACACAATGGGAAAGAAACCCACCAGCCTGGAGCCTGTGTTCAAAACCCGCTTTTGCCCCATGAGAACCTGAGCCCATCACTTCCCCTCCCCAGGCCCACGTACAAGGTGAGAAAGCCGAAACTGGATACAGCCTGAGGCCCCTTCCCTTTCTCACCTTTTATGATGCTCTGATCTGTCACCCCCATTTCCTATGAGCTGAGAAAAAGAAAAAACTGTCTGGAATTTCACCAAAAAGAAGCTGAAAATGAAAATCTCCTTGAAATGAAAGTCAGCAGCAGCTGTAAATAGGCGCTGGTAACAATAATCATTGATGGCCTACCGTCACGGGGTACTTTTCTATGTGCAAATCGCTATTCAAAGTAGCGTACATGTTTAATTTGTTCAATCTTCACGGTAACCCATTGCTATCATTGTCCTTATTTTGTAGATGAACACAGAGAAGCAAGGAGAGGGCAAGGCACTGGCCAAGGTCGTACGGCCGGCGAGTAGCTGAGCTTGGACACGAGAGCAGGCAGCCTGCCTCCAAAGATACCAGGCCAGCATGAAACTAGAAATCAACCACAGAAAGAAAAACAAGAGGGGAAAATGACAGCATGGAAACTAAACAACATGCTACTAAAAAAAAAACCAGTGGGTCAGTGATGAAACCAAAGAATAAATTGTAAAAGACCTTGAGACAAATGACAATGAAAACACAGCCACACAAAATCTAGGAGATGCAGCAAAAGCAGTCCGAGGAGGGAAGTTCATAGTAGATAAAAGCCTTCCTCAAAAAAAATAGAACAATCTCAAATAAACAACCTAACCTACCATCTAAACGATTTAGAAAGAGAAGAACAAACAAAACCTAAAGTCAGCAGAAGGAAGGAAACAATAAAGATCAAGGAGGGAATAAATCAAACAGAGATTTAAAAAACAATAGGAAAAAATCAATCAAACCAAGAGCTGGTTTTTGTAAAAAGTAAACAAAATCAGCAAACCTCTGGCCAGGCTCACTAAGAAGAAAAGAAAGAGGACACAAAGATACAGGCCACACAACCCAAGGGTCTCCTTTTCCTGGAGCTTATGAAAAATCTGGTTTTGGGATCATGTCTCTGGGCCAAAGAGTGGGCCCAATGCCTTCCCAGAGTCCTTTCTGACAGTAGTAGGCGCTATTCTATACGGGGAAGCTTTGCAAGGAGGGCAGAACTATTTCCTATCGGGTCTCCCATGATACTACCCCACCCCCCTGCATTTATGTTTTTATACATGAGTTCTTTTGATAATGAAAAGAGCACACGCTCTGGAATCAGACATAAGCGAGCAAGAATCACAACTCCTCATTCACTGTGGGACCTTGAACAGGGCGGCTTCACATCTCTAAACCTCTATTTCCCCGTAGATGAAACAGTTACAGTAATGCCTGCTTCGTAGTTATTACAAAGATTCCACGAAATAATTGCTGCTCATGCATTCTACCTAGGGGTAGTTCAGTATAGCACTTGGCCAAGAAAACCAAGTTCCTGTAAGTGAATCCCAGATAAATACCCTCATTTTAGTGCTTTGGCTTTCTTCCATTTAAAAATGACAAAGGAAAACAGAACAAAACACCCCATAGAGACTTTATCCAGGGGAATTAGGAAGAAAAGCCCACGAATCAGCACTGCTCTCTTGCGAGAAATGCATGTTCTGATGGGAGAAGACAGGGACCGGCATTCGTGCCAGATCCCAAGCTGGAAAGAAGCTGTCTGAGATCTGAGGAAACTTCCACCTGCTAAGAGGACCTAGCAGCCTGTTGAAAAAAAAATTTGTCTGGGAGTCAGAACTCTTACTTCTTTTTGTGTGACTGTAGGTAAGTCACTTGACCTCCTTGAGCCTCAGATTCTCACCTGTACAATCAAGGCTTTTTATTCGATGATCTCCGTGATTCCTTTAACACTAGCGAACTATAGGGCTCTGCCCAGCAAGAGGAGAAGGAAGCAGCCACGGGACAAAGGACATGAAATTTTGACAGATTCCCAAAATTACGAAGCACAGATTCCTGCCTGGCTGATTCCTTTATGTGACCCAATAAAATCAGAAAAAGAACTAAACAAAATACACTCGTGGTTAATCAAAGGGGATTGAAAGTCATTGCTAACCTCACACCTACCTTGCTTTGCCTCCAGCTCACCTCCCTTGGGACATTCCTCCTCCTCTTTAATGCCTCATCGGGATTCTCAAAAACTGTGATCACTCAAGGTTGAAGCTTTTAATCTCCCATGTATAAAAGGATATGCAAATAGAGTTCCGTTTCCTGTTGAGTCTCTGCCAAGGTCTTAGCCTGGCAGTTCTGGGAAAGGAGCCAAAGACCTCATATTTCTTGGCTGTTAACATTCTCCCATCTGTGCTCAAGTCAGCAGCCCAGGCTTCAGGCTGTGGCTTGTCTATAAGTGTTACACTTTCCTAGGTTTTTTAAAGAAATTCTTAAGAATGTTTCTGCAAGAAAGTAACTTGGTCCTAGAGGAATCAAACAAAGGATTATCTGGTTATATTTTGGGACAGTAAGAAAAAGACCAGAAAGTCTGTATTCCTATATGAGAGCTTCAGAATCCAATCTTGTCAACCACTTGAGATACTGATGTTAATTAGGTCTTAGGCAATGCTTGTAAATAAGTCATCTCTGTCTCCAATACAGGGTGTTCCACATTGTACAGACACAAGGTGGAAAAGGCAATGTCCTCAGGTAGTAACACCCCTGAACAGCATTCAAACACAAAAGACCTGAAAATCACAAGACATCTCGAGGTGTTTGGGAGCCAGATGCTCTGCCAAACTACAGAATCAGGGACCAGACTAATTGTCCCCTGTGTCTCCTGATTGAACTGACCAAACTAGCCACTGCCAACTTTACTCCACTCGAGACATACAGACCCACGTTCACTGAAATGTTATTACCAATATTCTGACGGAAAATGAGAAGTTCCAACCTGTGTTAAATCTGACCAACCACTAAACATGGATTCTCCTCTTTTCCTGTCAATATTCTAGCTTATTTGTATTTTTCAGTGTTTCCTTTCTGAAGCTAACTCTTAAAGGGCTCTCCTGTGCATTCTTATTTCCATTACAAGGTCAATATATGAGTTAAATCTTGAAATTTCACCAGGCACCTCTACGGACAGACTTCCTCTTCCATTTCTCTGTCCTCCCAGGCACCAATCAGGAGCAAAGAACTCAAGCTTGGACTAACGTGGAGCACATGTCAACCATAAAAAATACTCTCCAGGTCATTGTTCCATAGCCAGTCATTCACTTAATATCTTCTGCAGCATTTATTCCTCAATATCTTTCCCTAATCTGGATCATTGGTCCTCCACTTTATAAATTCAGACTTTCTTCTTTGAAACTGGCTCAGTGTTGATAGTCTACAAACTTTCCACCTCTCAGTTCTGTTCAATGAACTTGTCCCAAATGATTTGCATCTCAGCAGGGAAATGATGCAAACTGGGTCCCTTCCTATTCTGGCTTTTTGCTTCTCAGTCCTACCCTACCCATGTGTGTCTGGAAAGTTAGCACCACCTTGCACCATTTATGGGCATTTTTCTCAGAGGTCTGTTTGCAAAGAAGCACTTTGCATGTTTTGATGGGAGAAGATAGTTCAGGACTGAGCCTGAACTCCATTGTTATTATGACCCTGAAGGTACTTGACTCAGAAAGACTTGGAGGTGTCTACCTAAATCCAAGTCCAGCTACTACATCACTGTAAGTTGCCATTGAAAAGTGGGCTAAATACATATCACGCCTCTAAAGGCTCAGAATTGAATCTCAGATTTGTATGATATATAGATTTATGAAGATCCAGGACAAAGGCTGGAATGCATCAGTTCAGTGGACTGTAATGGGAGCTGTCCAGGTCATACACCTTCAACGGGAGAAAGAAGCAGTGTCACCTTAGACAACTCCAGCTCTCTGGTCTACCTGTGTTCTCCTGCTACCACACTTCATTCTACCGTGTATTTATTTATGGCAGATCTGCTCTACTAAAAACTAGCCTCCAGAAAGTCAACATAATCTTTATTAGTCTTCAGATTCAAAGTAAAATAAGTGATTCTGACTTTAGAGTAAAATCTTCCACCCTCCAAAGCAGACTCCAAGGATGAGGCATAAGCAGGTCTCTAACCACCCTATATTTACATTTGGATTTATATCCCCCACTTTCTGTACATTGTTTCTGCATACAGAGAATTCAGTGATGAAAACTGAGACTCCATCCTACATACAATAATTAACTCAACTATCAGTACAGATTGTATGGAAGGAAGACAGATTTTTATCAAAAAGTATAAAGCTTGTAATGTATTTAAAACAGAAAAGCAATAGACACTTTCCTCCTACCATGGCTTTCACTCTGATACGTTGCTTGCCATGAGGCATTAGGATGGTTCTGCCATTACTTTTTGGCTTCCACACTCCAAGCCACCTGGCCTCCACCACACCTGGATGAGGATCTCTTTGTTCAGCATTGTCAATGCCATCACACTCATCCCAGAAGTCAGAACTGACTGTATAGATTGGCTAATAAATCTGAGAGAGCACATGTTCTAAGAGATAGTTGGAAAGTGGTGGGATAAATGGAAGCTGAGTGCTGGGTAATGGCTCAAGTCCACGGCCGACAGCCTTCTCACCACCCACCTAATCCAACAGACCTGTCTTCATTAGGAAGCACCAGAGACCCCTATGAGGCACTAGAGACATCCTGTGGTTCCTGTACACCCTGACACCCCACATTTGAGTCCCTTTCCAGTTCAGAGAACAAAAGCTGCTGGCTTTGGGCCAGTTCACAACAGATGTGGGGCACAACCGCCAACCACCCAGGAAGCATCCACGGGGGCAGGGCATGAGAATCAGCCTCTCAGAAATTCCCATACTTGTGATCCCATCAGTCATCTAACACCTGCCCAAGGGAGACACTGGGAGACGTTCTCCTGAGCATCTTCAAGAAGTTAATGCTTCCTGTTGGGAACTGAGAAGGATGAGTTGTGACTAAGTCTAAGA